GACGCCAACTGTGCGCTTGAAGGCCGAAGACAGAGAGTCGAATCCGACAGCGTTCAGCACGATATTCTAGGAAGAAACTTAAAGAACCCTGCACCTTATTGCCCCGACCTGGGCACGCTAGCTGTATAGAAACCTAGTGCGTGGTAGTGAGAACGGAACGCTATCTATTCTGCGTTTTTCAAACTTTTTGACAAAGTGCAACTGAGGACAACTGGTTTTTCACTTTCTGAGCAATACCTCGTAGTTGTACAAGCACTCAACATTGGCTAAGTCATGTGAACAGGCTGAACTGAGCATGAACATAGGAGTAGCTCAGCTTTTCAACACATTCAACATAATCGTGCTGAAAGGAAACGGCTGGGCATCAGGCGCAAAAGAAGGTTAATTAATTACGAGGAACCCAATTACTTATCCCCGATCAAGTTTGTGAAGCCAGTAGCCAAAAAACTCGACGTTTTCCCAGAAAATGCATCGGATGCGGGTTTAAAGTTAAAGAAATCTAGGAAAGATTATGGAAAATCTCGTGTAATACTAAGTGCCCGGAAACGGCATTGGAGGGTTCTGAGCATATTAACGACAAATACGTAACTCATAACGAACGAAATTCTGCAGCAATTCAGTACAATCGCCACAGAGGCGAGACAGGAAAATTCAGTGGAAACCCAAAACAAATATCTCAGAGAAATGGTATTCCTTTAATTTTCAAGTGCAACCAAACAGGAATGATGAAAACGCAGCTTCGTCGTAGGAAAACATTCTTCTTGGTATTTTTTAAGTCTACCCGGACCTTTTTAACAGCATTAGCGCTCTTATGGAGTTTACAAACATTTCCCCAAGCACTGGCGGCCCCGGCGAGTGGCTATCGTGTCCATGACGACGGCCGTTCACGTAGCTGGGGTCCAACTGGACTAAGGCGATATTTCGATCCATTTGACGCTTGTATGGTACAAAGTAAGTTGCATATATCAAATATGTTCGTAGGGGGATGTGACACTCTAAAAGGGATATTTATAGTTCGTGGGACTTCTGCTGTTGTCTTATTCGCCTTATCTTTTTCTTAACGGTTTGCATTTCTACCTCCTAGACATTTTACAGCCTTTTTGACTCAGTAAATACAAGCCCTGCTTTAAAACCTGTGTATTTTGTTATTCGAAAATGCTGTAGGTTTATGTAACCGTTCATTAGTTCTAACCCAGGTGAAGATATTCTACAGGTTATTTTTGAGTTTGGAGTTCCTCAGAGTCATGGTTTACTTGTAATACAAAATTGTCAATGACGCCAAGATCGTTTTAAAAATCGATTTGATTTTTATTCCATCATCCCGGAAACGTTTTCATTGTAATGATCACCGCTATGTCCAAAGATGAAAGGCATGCCTATCCAACTTCCATTTTCTTATGTCATCCATTGTATTTTGAATAAGATAATGAAGTTATTCATTTATATATAATAATTTCATTAATCATTTTTGCGTGATAAACGTGATACGGAACAGGTGCGTTGATGAAAAAACGCGTGAACACGCCAGAAGACGGAATTTGGCACAGAATTTAACTTAGCTGGAGGTTATTTACCGAAAGAACATGGAAATTAAAAATTCACTAATATGCGGAATTAACTTGGTTCCACAGTTCACTCCTCTTGGCAAAACGTAACGTCCTACAGTGTTAATGCACGTGGATACTTGCAGTATAAATGCGTTCGAATTCGAAAAGATTACAAGAAAATTGCCTCATAGCATTTTGTGTTGCTCTCTGAAAAATATGAAGCTTCATGAGGTCCTGCAAAGCATTCGCTGAAAAGTTAATATGGGTGCTTTCTCAGTGAAACTTACTTGAAACAAGATTATCACGCCTCCTCCTGGTGTTTTAAAATAGAACGCAGAAAAGCTGGTAATTATACCAGTACGTTGGAAATAAGAGAAAGCGTGTTAATTTGATTGCATTCAGCGAGAGCCCCGGGGCGATAAAGTCGAACTAACTAGTACGATAGTTTCGTTGTGAACGCATCCTGCGTTTCCTGACCAGTTCGGAGTTGCTTTGCGGGTGGTCTTTCTTCGCCAGACATCATCTGTTTTGCAAACCAAGGAGTTATAACTCCTTGTGCAAACCAACAACGGAACTTCATGTAGTTTTCTCAGTATAATTCGTTGGAATTATTATTCTGACATTGGAAAATTACATGTTAGACGACCTTGTCTCAGACAACGGTAGGCTTATAGTATTAGGCAGGTAAAATTGGCCACAAAAAAGTGTTCTTTTCTCTCATCTTGTTTTCCATAAAACACTCGGGAGGTAACCCTCACTGCGTTCAGCATCATTAAGTCAGTGACCTTATTTTCTATAATTTTGAAAAAAAAAATGTCCTGTTCCAAACGATGTTACCATCCTCTCACAGTTTTAAATGATCAAAGAAAAATCATCAAAAACATCTGCACTTTCACTCTCACTTCACAATCTCACACAAAATAGTTTCAGATCGCCAAGTGCTCTTTTTACAGATGACTTGTTTGCACTGGGAACGACTAAGCCACGTCATTTGACGTCACGACATCGCGGATATATTTTTCTGTGGCGACATTTTGAACCCCTTGATACCACAGGGGTCTCTGTTGGTGTATTCAAAATTGAAGAAGAGTCGATTGGATAGTCTACTAGCGACTCCTATAGCAGAGAGTGGGTATCTTGAGTGATCTGCTTGTCTGGTGACGTCAAATGACTCGTTTTAGTCGATTTCCGTTATAAGTGAGATCGGTGTAGAATCAGGCCCCTACAAAACTAATGCCCTTCCTCGCGTAAAATGTTGATTGCATTCAGGCGCACTGGTTCCACGGCATGCGGTCAAGCATGTATTTTCAACAGACTGCTGCATCACTGTGTATTACTCAGTTTGATGAATTGTATTCAACATCTCTTTCGCCACAGGAACATAAAGATCGACTCCATACGTCTTTAGATAGACTACTTGATACTCCGTGGTAGAGGAAATGGGAGTTAAAGCATCAAATGATCTATTTCATCTAGACCCCATTCATCAGTATTATATTTTTTTCTTGTAATTTATCATTGTCATTTTTGAACAGCATTTTTATTTGAAGACCACTCTTGTGAAGACAACTTAATCTTCAGGAAAATAATGGAGGGCAAACTGCTTAATTGTCCATGCTTGTTTTTCTGTTTGTTTTTTGTCATTGTTCCTTGTTAGCAGGGTTATTTGCACTTGTGCATTTATTTTTTTCCTTGAATTCCCGTACTTTTCACTTTCAGTTTATTTTCTTGATCTCCTGTTTGTACCAGACCATTTTCACATTAAAGATAAATTACACCACAGTGGAATTTTTTACATCTTAAATTTTCATTGCGGCGGAGTCTACTAGTAGATACGGGCATTTTCAAGAACATCCTGCGTTCACTCATCGGCTGTCGAAGCGCATTCCTCATTATAAGAAACTATTCCTCGGGTTGCGTTTTGGAAGTATATTATAATTGTTCTGATATTTTCGGAAGCTTTCTTATATTTACTTATAAAGGTCAGCGTGAAAATTATCCACAGAACAGAAGGTTAGCTTAGGTTTATCGGAGAAACAACCAAATGCAAAATGAGAGATGAGCATTTTTTTTCTTGCGAACCTTCAGGCACCGTTTCGTCAGTGTTTTCGTCTTTACTGTAGAAATGTTTTATTCTGGACAACTTATGTGTGTTTAAGCAAGCTGTTGAACAACACTATCATGAAAACGCTGACGAAAGACGAAAATCAGTGTATAACTCATTACATATAAACAAAAAAAATTCTATAATACAGCTTTGCCCCTCTTATCTAATAATTTTCAACCGCTCTTCGGATTTCATGGACATAAAATAGAAAGTAGCTTCTCTCTCTCTCTTTTATTCGTCTTTTTAACGTCTTTTTGTGCCGCTTTCTTTTTAACTTCTCGAAAGTAACGATAGTTTTATTTTTGTTCGTTGATTAATCCAATACTTCATCCATTCTAGAAAGTCCAGAAGAGGGTCTAGCTGTCTACTACGACTGCACGGCAGGCGGTTGGCTCCTTTCTTGTCACAACGATGGAAGATACGTAGGTCGCGCAGGACCGCACGTGAGCGCGAGGGGGAGAAGCGTATACACGTGCTTATGCGTGTGCAAGAAGGGCTATGGCGGAACAAGATGTCAAGACGAAATTGGCTATGGATATTTCAATTAGAGACCTCGTTAATTAAGAGTGGAGATTAAAGTAATGACAGAGAGAGACAAGGCAATATAAAGAAACGCACCACCGTGTTGAAGTACAAAATGTTTGAAAGAAATACTTCGATGAAAAAGAACACAAGACTCCATAGATCTAAGAATTTTGGAATAGATTTTTCACCGAGGACCGCAAGTAAAAAAATGACTGGATGATTTAGTTGAGCAAGGATACCGTAATTCCTTTTACTGAGGCAAAATTAGATGGCACTTGTTTATATGGAAAGGCAGACGATCCACAACCAAGTTAAGTAAGGAAAGAGAACGTCGTTTGCTGTTTCTCTCCGGTAAATTTGTAGAATTCATAAAATAGCACGAAGCACTGCCTGAATCTGTTAGAGACCACAATATTTTGAAACTGAAAGTGACTCAAATATTTTTAGTCCCCTCTTTTAAACCGTCGTCGTATTTCCGAGATAAATAGGATTCGCCGCTTTTCCAACAAGTACTAGTAGGCCTATAATTAACATTTCATGCACCGAAATTTAAGACTTTCTTTAAGAAATCATATACGAAAAGCGTCGACTTGGGGATCAGGGAGAACGATGAGGACACACAACCACGTCGTGTTACAAGAACAATTCAACTCGTCGCGCACAGTTGTACAACACGGATCTCATTTGATGGAAATAGTAGGCTATTATATCCCACTACACTTGGAACTGCTAGTTTGGAATAACGTTCAATCATCTGTGCTTGGTATTCAAAACACCATATAAATATATACGTCAAAGGCAACTCAGTTATTCATATTAATTCATTTATTCGGTGGATGAATTGTCAGAGTATAGTATCAATATTTATTTATCAATGTATCAATATATTTATTGCATCAAAATATGAAATTACAAATATGCCATTTGAAAGAGATCAGTTAATTGTCCTTTTAAAAAATCTGATACTGAATTAATATTAAGTTACAGTGACTTTAAAAATTTCCTGACAAAACTGTGACGTCATCTTCAACATCAGTTCCCCTTATTTCTTCATTTGACAAGGCTCTATTTTTCCAATAAAAACTGCTTGTACTTTTTTTCTTGGTGTTTATTCTTAAACTTGGGTACAAAGTTAACTTTAACAATCTCACTGAAACCTTCTTCCTTAATCGGCTCCTGGAATTTGCTCCTGAAAATATTAAAGTGGTTTTTATTCATTATTCTATCTTTGTTTTCACCAGTAAAATTATAAAGACCTTTTATAATATTTTTCATATATTCACTCCTTAACCAGGTTCTTAGCACACAATAATACTGTTTTTTTTTTTCAAAAGAATACACATCTTTTCTGACTTTATTATGAATCATACACCAGGATACCAGCTTTATTCTGCTGTAGAAAGTGGGTCAAAATAATGTGATTATATACTAACATGATTCTGTACAAAAATATGTGAATTATTCTAAAGATCCAAACTACAAAATTAATGGAAACTTTAAAAAACTGACATAAAAATACTTACTTGAAAGAATTAAACACCATATCATTGATGTGTTGATGCTTGCTGTCAGTGAGTTCTCGGAACTGAAATTAAAATTAATCCCTTATTTTTTTTTCAAGCTGAACAAAACTTGATAAATAAAAATGATAAAGCATAACATAACCGTATGGAATGGCAAATGAAATATGTTCCTTAAAATAAAATTGGATTTGAACAGCTTATCTCCTGCTGAAGACACAGCATCTGACTTGGATATCAAACTGATTATCTTTTCATAATTTATTCAAAATGAAGAGGTTTTTCTCGTTTAGATTTTATTACGATAAGTAATGAGGTAGAGTGATTTTTATCCCAGTCTGGCATAAGGGAGGGATGCCATTCTTAACATTGGTATGTACAGTATGCTTTCTGTTCCCCAACCATTTGCCTTTTTACCCCAACTTTTAAATATTTCAAATTCAAAGGTTGAAAGCACAATTTAGAAAGCAATCGAGTGGAACGTGTGCATAATATTTACACTGGCCTTAACTTAACTTTAGAACTAATAGGTCCTTTTCAAATTGCGTAGTATACTTAAAGATTTATAGTTTGTACTGATACACTTTGATAATGTGACAACTTTAAATAACCTGGCTATTATGTAAGACCCCATTCCCACAGATATCATTGGTCTACATGGATTCACCCAACTCTGCAGGGTCCTTGCTAAGTGCAATCAGCTTAACTGAATGACACACATTCTCTTGTTTCCAACATACTCGTATACAATCACCAGCTTTTCTGTATTCTACTTAACACCTAGAAGTATATGTATCATTCAGTTAAGCTGGTTGCAGTCAGCGCGAGTCCCCGCAGAGTTGGGTCGATTCACCTAGACCAATGATGTTTATGTGAATGGGGTCTAAGAGAGTCATCTTAATGAAGCTAACCGGCTGAATACACCAATTTACCAACTTCCACCCCTTTTAGCATATAATAATATCTTAAAAGACCTCTCAAAGTATATTGATAACATATACATGTACTGCTTAACGTGAAAGGGCCCTAGTTAATTTCAACAGAATTTTGAGATTTCTGCTTTCAACTCTTTTAATGAAGGGCTTTTAAGTACTTTGTAAGTGATATTTAACTAAGAGATATTTTTAGAAAGAAATCTGCATATTTTAAAGTAAACACTAAGTTCTCTTTCAGAGTGGTAAAAAAGAGAAAAATATTATGCACAATGCTTTAAGTAGAAATAATAACAACAAAATTCAGTTCAAGTGCCAATACTCCTAATACCCTCCCTGTGCATATTTGTAAATCCTCACTGCTAGCCATCAGATGAAAAAAAATTATTAAAACTTCCAACCTCATTATAAACAACAATGTTAACAGCAACAGGAAAACAATGCAAGTTTCACAATGTGGCCCAACTTCAGGGATTCAGAAATTCTGGGACAAAGTTGAATACCTAAACAGCCATGTACCCAAGTACTCTACAAGCCCTGGACATACTACCCTTTTAAAGCTGTAATTGAAGTGATTCAAAACAATGCACTTAGATCAAATGGCAAGTGGCATTCTTGTACTCAGCTTAATGGGGATGTCAGAAACACCCTTGTCACTCAATTTCATTAGTTTTCTTTGTAGGAGACAAGAGACAGATATGTGTCCATACACCAGATGTGCCTCTTTTCCAATTCGAGTCAAATGCCTTTCATTATGGCAAATTACCCAACAAATTGTTCGACACTAACCAGTGAAACAATGACAAATGGCTGGCCTAAAAAAAACATCCAACCTTGGAAAGAAAAAAGCAATGGACTGTAACACTGAGCTGACCTTCACATATCTTTTAACCAAAAAGTAACAAAGCCAAATGCACAACATTACTGAATTCTCCAACCCAAGCCAGAATGGAGAATATTTGCTGGCAGCTGATTCAAATGAAGAAAAATGAACCTGAACCAATAAATTAATTCCCTTATAATTTTCCTTTTTTCAAAACATTTTTTCAAGCTGTTCTACAGTTTGCGAAGTGATACAAAATGAAATGATAAAACTATTTCTGATAAGCGCTAATATCTGACAGAGACACTGTTTTCCATGTTACACAACACAGTCACCTGTCACAAATGGATTCAATGATCTATGACTTAAGGTGCATTCACAATGGAACTATCGTACCAGGTAGTGCTTACTAAATCCACAGGGACTCTTGCTGAATGCAATCAGATTAACACATCACCTCATTTCCAATGTACTTGTATAATCTCCAGCTTTTCTGTATTCCACTCAACAACAGGAGGAGTGTTAATCTGATTGCTTTCAGTAGGAGTCCCCACGGAGTTAGTTTGAATTACCTAGTTCAATAGTTTTATTGTGAGCATACCCAATGTGTCCATGCTGTGACAGCTGAGATCAACTCACAGCCAATGACAAGACATGCATGACCAGCCTGGCAACAACAGACAAAGGCAGACATTTTATTCCAAATACAAAAAATATTAAGAAAAATTCCAATATTGCAGTTCAGTGACATTAATTGTGATGCACCTGATAAGTGATAAAAATCTCAATTCTCTTCCACTGTCAGAAATCACTGATACCATGGGTCACATGAAATGCAATAAATCATGACAAACTCTTGGCAAGTCATCACAACAAGTGACTGCACTTCAGATAAATATTTCTCATTTCAAAAACAAAGTAGACTGTCATGATGAATGGTTGGCTAAACATTCAGATCAGTGCATTGTGCCTTTTCTTCTCCTAAAAATAGTTTTCACCAGAATCCATTACCCATCAACCACCCCTTGGAATTTCAGCCCACAGTTAAATTCCAATAATATTAAATGAAAAGGTAACCATGGCAATGATCCTCCTCTCTCTGAAAAGTGATAAACTGTGCAACATTATATTTTATATCCAACTTCAGAGTCTGTGGAAACGATTTCCAATCTTAATCTTATGTGCTCTCCAGAGGCAGATTGAGGCCGTTTTCTGGGTCTTCCGGAAGATGGTCAGATTTTCAAGTTTATATTGATGGGTATCTGATTTTTTCTGTTGAAAGACCATCAAAAATGGAGAATGGATCAACAAAGATCATTTGGAAGACTGTCAGAAAATATCTCTGGATCCACATAGTCAGTTTTGACCAAGCCAATGACAAGATTTATAACAAGATTAAGATAAGTGTGTTCACAATGAAACTATTGTGATAGGTAGTTCGAACTGACTCCACATGGCAATTGGCTGAATGCGATCAGATTTACAGATTAGCATGCCTCCTCCTGACTTTAAGTAGAATACAGAAACCTGGTGCTTACACAAGTAGGTTGGAAACAAGAAGAGGCATGTTCATCTGTTTGCATACAGCGAGAGTCCCCGTGGAGTTAGTTTGAACTACCTAGTGCGATAGTTTTATTGTGATCACACCCACAGACATATAACCTTTTCTGTCTTATAATTACTTACCCTTTCGTTATGCCTGCAATGGTTGAAAGATGCAGTGAATACAAAGCACCTACAAGGGACCCCAGCCTTCTTTGCACAGTCCACGTACCTGCAACAAATAGACAATGAAAAGATTAAAAAAAAGAAAACATGCATTGTGCATTTATATCCAAGCCTTGAATTCTTAAAATGCTTTCCCATTCGGTTTAAATGGTGGTTAAAAAATCAAGTTACTCGAGTGATACTTGTGCTATGTCTAGAACCATCTCAATGTTGCAGGGCCAATTAAGTGGTTTTTGACCACACCCAATTGTGCAAAGAACTTCAGATTCACAAATTTCTGGGAAATACAAAAGAGGTTTGTATGGTGATTACTAGGTCTTTCCAATAGGGGAAAATTGTGAATTTTTCAGATGCTGTATTTTTAGGATATAATTTCTCAAAATTAAAACATTCCTATTGAGTAGTAGCAACAAAATAAAAAGCAGGCTACTCTATAGTTCTATATTCCATGCAGTAAAAGCACCACAAATGCTATTATATAGAAATGTAATTTTGTGATTATAAAAAATACATATCTGAAAGTTAAAAAAAAATTGCCAATTAAAAAGATCGAGCAGGCCCATAGCCAGGGGGGGGGGGGGGGGTTCGGGGGGTTCGAAAGAACCGCCCCTTTTGCTGGGANGCCATGTACCCAAGTACTCTACAAGCCCTGGACATACTACCCTTTTAAAGCTGTAATTGAAGTGATTCAAAACAATGCACTTAGATCAAATGGCAAGTGGCATTCTTGTACTCAGCTTAATGGGGATGTCAGAAACACCCTTGTCACTCAATTTCATTAGTTTTCTTTGTAGGAGACAAGAGACAGATATGTGTCCATACACCAGATGTGCCTCTTTTCCAATTCGAGTCAAACGCCTTTCATTATGGCAAATTACCCAACAAATTGTTCGACACTAACCAGTGAAACAATGACAAATGGCTGGCCTAAAAAAAACATCCAACCTTGGAAAGAAAAAAGCAATGGACTGTAACACTGAGCTGACCTTCACATATCTTTTTACCAAAAAAGTAACAAATCCAAATGCACACCATTACTGAATTCTCCAGCCCAAACCAGAATGGAAAATATTTGCTGGCAGCTGATTTAGATGAAGAAAAATGAATCTGAACCACAAATGAATTCCCTTATAATTTTGCCTTTTTCAAAACATTTATTCAAGCTGTACTACAGTTTGAGAAGTGATACAAAATAAAATGATAAAACCATTTCTGATAAGCGCTAATATCTGACAGAGACACTGTTTTCCATGTTATACAACACAGTCACCTGTCACAAATGGATTCAATGATCTATGACTTAGGGTGCATTCATAATGAAGCTATCGTACCAGGTAGGGCTTACTAAATCCACAGGGACTCTTGCTGAATGCAATCAGATTAACACACCACCTCATTTCCAATGTACTTGTATAATCTCCAGCTTTTCTGTATTCCACTCAACAACAACAGGAGGAGTGTTAATCTGATTGCTTTCAGCAGGAGTCCCCACGGAATTAGTTTGAATTACCTAGTTCAATAGTTTTATTGTGAACACACCCTGAGTGTCCATACTGTGACAGCTGAGATCATCTCACAGCCAATGAAAAGACATGACCAGCCTGACAACAACAGACAAATGCAGGCATTTTATTCCAAATATAAAAAAATATTAAGAAAAATTCCAATACTGAACTTCAGTGACATTGATTGTGATGCACCTGATAAGTGATAAACATCTCAATTCTCTTCCACTGTCAGAAATCACTGATACCATGGGTCACATAAAATGCAATAAATCATGACAAACTCTTGGCAAGTCATCACAACAAGTGACTGCACTTCAGATAAATATTTCTCATTTCAAAAACAAAGTAGACTGTCATGATGAATGGTTGGCTAAACATTCAGATCAGTGCATTGTGCCTTTTCTTCTTGTAAAAATAGTTTTAATCAGAACCCATTACCCATCAACCACCCCTTGGAATTTCAGCCCACAGTTAAATTCCAATAATATTAAATGAAAAGGTAACCATGGCAATGATCCTCCTCTCTCTGAAAAGTGATAAACTGTGCAACATTATATTTTATATCCAACTTGAGAGTCTGTGGAAATGATTTCCATTCTTCTTATGTGCTCTCCAGAGGCGGATTGAGGCCATTTTCTGGGTCTTCCGGAAGATGGTCAGATTTTCAAGTTTACATTGATGGGTATCTGATTTTTTCTGTCGGAAGACGGTCAGAAATGGAGAATGGATCAACAAAGATCATTTGCAAGACTGTCAGAAAATATCTCTGGATCCACCCCTGCTTTTCCTCTCTCATTTTCAGGTTTCACATAGTCAGTTTTGACCAGGCCAGCAACAAGATTAATACAAGATTAAAATATGGTGTGTTCACAATGTAACTATCGTGATAGGTAGTTCGACCTAACTCCACAGGGACATTGGCTAAATGCAATCAGATTTACAGATTAGCATGCCTCCCCCTGACTTTAAGTAGAATACAGAAATCTGGTGATCACACAAGTAGGTTGGAAACAAGAGGAGGCATGACTGAATCTGTTTGCATTCAGCGAGAGTCCCCATGGAGTTAGTTTGAACTACCTAGTGCGATAGGCCGATAGTTTTATTGTGATCACACCCACAGACATATAACCTTTTCTATCTTATAATTACTTACCCTTTCGTTATGCCTGCAATGGTTGAAAGATGCAGTGAATACAAAGCACCTACAAGGGACCCCAGCCTTCTTTGCACAGTCCACGTACCTGCAACAAATAGACAATGAAAATACTGTTGACTGATCAAGATGAACAAATTAAGATACCGTACTAACTGCATTTGTCAAAGCAAAACTCACTAAACTGAATGACTCAAAAAAACCTCTTACATTTTCAAAAAGATAAAAAAAAAAAAAACACCAAACATGCATTGTGCATTTATATCCATACCAAGCCTTGAATTCTTAAAATGCTTTCCCATTTGGTTTAAATGGTGGTTAAAAAATCAAGTTACTCGAGTGACACTTGTGCAATGTTTAGAACCATCTCAATGTTGCAGGGCCAATTAAGTAGTTTTTGACCACACCCAACTGTGCAAATGACTTCAGATGTTTAGATTCACAAATTTCTGGGAAATACAAAAGAGGTTTGTATGGTGATTACTAGGTCTTTCCAATAGGGGAAAATTGTGAATTTTTAAGATGCTGTATTTTTAGGACATAATTTCTCAAAATTAAAACATTCCTATTGAGTAGTAGCAACAAAATAAAAAGCAGGCTACTCTATAGTTCTATATTCCATGCAGTAAAAGCACCACAAATGCTATTATATAGAAATGTAATTTTGTGATTATAAAAAATACATATCTGAAAGTTAAAAAAATTTTGCCAATTAAAAAGATCGAGCAGGCCTGTAGCCAGGGGGGGGGTTCAAAAGAACCGCCCCTTTTGCTGGGAAAAAGTCCACTCTGGGTAAAATTTGATCTAGGTACATGAAGTTTTTAAGGGAAAAGTTCCACTTTTTTAGAAAAAGAACCCCCCTTTTGAAATTGCTGGCTACGGGCCTGTCGAGTCATTACCGTAATGTCTGAAACTCAGGGTGTTAAAAAGGTCCCTGAGCAATTAAGTCGTCTGGTGACATCATTCACACTACTCGATATGTGTATTTCCAGTCTACTAGTTAAATATAAAAAAGTGTTAGCTCTGAAACCAAAAGCAATGACCTGAACAAGGTACTACAGATGACAGGCCATTCTTTCAAGCCAGTCTGATGCCTAATTTAAAACAAATTATTCCTTATCTCGGCTAGCCTGATCAATGTTCTTGGTAACAATTTCCGACAATTACCATATGCAGGTCAAGTAACCCTTACAGGTTGAATACCCTGAAGTGTAACGTGCCCTGGCATGTACACTCACCTCGTGCCTCCGAGCACGCAAAATCATATAACCTTTTAAGATGCTAGCTAGCTCTGACACTAATATACAGGGATGTGGGAAAGTCAAGCATTAATAAAACTTATGTTATCCCTGTCTACTGACGGATTATGCATAGGCCATAGGCACTGTGTAATAGATTTTGAACAAACTGATCCCTTGAAGCCAAAAAAATAAAGAATTCAAGAACATGTTCTGTCATTTTCATCCCAGACGCCAAACATGAAAAATCAAGTAACTCCCTCTGAGATGAAAAGAAAATGAGTCAATGTAAAACATAACGCCTAACTTCAGGTGCATCCTCATGTCAAAATGAATTCTAATTAATACATAAATCAATGAACTAAAAGAGTTAAGGAATTTAGTAAGTCAATGCATAGACTTCATATACCTGGGTGAGAAAAAATGGAAAAATGAATGAAAGCACACATTAGTCTTGTATTCAGTATGATTTTAAAGGGGGGGAGGTTACTTTTTTTTAAGAGGACCTTTTTACTCCTTGGTCGACCACACATAAGAAATAGCACAGAACCTAGATGAAATTTTGATTCAGAGGAGGCCTTTTCTGTCCAAAGGTGATGTTCTTTTTATTCTCCCCCCTCCTTTTCCAATTCACCCTGTCTGTGTGCCAGCATATAAATGACTAAAAAAAAAAAAAAAGGTCTTAAAACATGAGACAGCTAGTGCATCATTTAAGCAGGGGCAGATCCAGAGATATTTTCTGACAGGGTTCTAAATTATCTTTATTGATCCATCCTCCATTTTTTGACCGTCTTCCGACAAAAAAATCAGATACCAGACAATTTAAACTTGAAATTCTGACCATCTTCCAGAAGGCCCAGAAGACGGCCTAAATCCGCCCCTGCTAACTCTGACACACTTCAAGCACAAAACTTTTTTTAACAGCTCGGCTTTAGCCGCTAAATCTGAGAGATGGACTGGTAATGCCAACCTGACAGACTGGCATGTATTTGAAAGATTGCATGATTTACACGGGAGACTTTAAAAAATTTTTTGGCAGATTCTGGAACGATACTCGCAGCTTTACAATTTCTATTTCAATTGAAGATTGATAGATAATACTTCCTAGGCTAACTCCAACATGTCGAACACCTCAGATCATTTATTTTAATGAAAGGAAATATAAAATCATTTTTTGCCAATAAATGACTATGATACTTTGCAAATTTCAATTACAATTAAAATTACTATAATACTCTTTTGACCCAAAATTAAATTTAACAAGTAAAATATCTGGTTGAGAAAATCTCTGCTATTGTGAGCCCAGAATAACTAGTATACAGCTTAGTTCACAACTCTTAAAGTTTAGTCACGTAAAAAAAGCCTTTGATCATAAGTAGGATTTATTGAAATGGTATTTTATTGACAAAATGTGCATTTTTTATTTGCAAACTTTGTTCATTCAGCTTAAAAAAACGCAAGGTAATATGACTGATGAAATTTATACTGAAACCCATTTAAAGAACATTCATACTGTGGTTGAGATTTTTGTTAACGTAATGTTATACTTTTAGATAAGAGTACAACATTCTTGCACAGAATTCTAAATCAGATGTAGTGTTTGAAGTTGTGATCATTTCCCAGACTTCCTACCTCCCCCATTTAAGAACTTTTTTTAACAAACTGAAAAAAATTAAAGAATGTACATCTTACAAAAGCTTTTTTATAAATCATACAAGAAGTGTTCTTCAAAGCAGAAAATAAGGCTTCGTTCACATGCAATGTCTATTTTCTAAATTCTATTTTCTATTCGCGCTATCTTATGATCACGGTCTGTGTCCTGAATATCCCGTGGCGTAATTACTGGCAGCGCGAGCCAGTTACTTATAGTAACTTATAGTAACTGGCTCGTGCTGCCAGTAATTACGCCGCGGGATATTCAGGACACAGACTGTGATCATAAGACATACCGCGAATAGAAAATAGAATTTAGAAAATAGACATTGCATGTGAATGAAGCCTAAATCATTTAACATTTTTTCTAAAAATCATACAAGACAGGTTCAATAAAGTAGGAAAAAATCAACTACGTAAGAGGTCTGGTCCCAATTACCTTGTTTTTACTATACACTACTGGGCCTTCTCCAACATTGCTTTGTTTAAAGGTACATCATGGTATACCATATGCATATGCTTTGAATATTTCCAAAAGTAACTTTTTTGGTCTTTATATCGTGAGAGTGTGGTCTAAATTAATAATGATTTATTTTCAACTACATTATTTAATTAGAAATGGTACAAAACGAGATCTTTGTACAGAAACCAGATGGGCAATGATTCACGAGTATAAAAAAATTGCCTTTGTCGTACAGAAAATGAGATTTGGTGTGAAAATCACTTATAGAACACCTTGGAGTAAATGTGTTAAATGCTACATCAGATTATTGTGGAGAAATAGGTCAAGTGTAGGTGGGGTTCTATCAGTTGTTCAAAACTAATGCTTGCTAGTAAATCAGAATTAAATGATAATTCATGTAAATGTCCCAGTTCATACCAGTCTAAACTTAAACTGTTTCAGTTCTGAATATGGTTACCACAGATAAATAGGTAGGTAGACAGACTGACAGGCAGACTGACAGACAGACAGATGGACAGATTCACAAAAAAAGACAGATAAATGAATACAAGATTAACCAGTGATTTTTTAGCCTTATTCTGCCTACTAAACACGAGAACCAATACATCACATTTTTAAAGTTTTTAATATGCTTAAAAGTATTCACAACTTTGGAAGGTAATCTAAAAACATGTGTTAATGGTGTAAAGCATGTTCTAAATTACCACATATCTACCCAGCATATCATACATCTAGCAGCCATATCTGTAACAAAAATGTACTTTAACTTCAAACTGATGTAGACAGTGTCTGACCTCTTACGTGTTTCCTTGTCTGGGTTTGTGTTGTCCACTGCTACGCTCTTTCCTTCCTTCAGTGACTTCTCACAAACCTGCACACATTTCTGCCACGTGCCCAGGGTGTCCTAAAAATTCAGTAAAAAATGGCTGAAAACATGTTAATTTGTAAAATTACTTTTTTATTACACTGAAACAGAACAATGGGTTTAACGCAGGTCTGTTACGTCGCTATGCTTCATAGTAGAAGGAAACTCCCATATCAGACACACCTGTTGCAGCTGGAAACTAAATCCTATTCAAAAGAAGATGAAGTTGCTCTCATGAATTCTTTTCTTTTTTTTTAATATAATACTTAAGTAACAGTTAAGATTCTTTCAATCTCTCTAAAAAATAAAGAGAAAAAAGTATTTAAAGGCCTTTTCATGTTATTTGTTAAGATATGATAGCAATTTAGTTTTTCAAATCATTTTTAATATCAATATTTCCATTAATATTACATGGCTACAGGAGTAAAAGTGACCTCCTGATGTTGACAAAAAATATTTTTCACACGTGTGTGTCATCACATGCCTAGGTGAATATAACATGGACGCATGTGTGATATCCACTGACTCTTGCTCCGACATCTGCTTTACTTGAATCCTTTGCCAATGCCGCAATTCATTTTTCAGTGATCTGGAAGTAGCTTACCATCCCCATAGTGAGCCAGTGTTTAGCTCTGTTCACACAGCAATAAGTAGTGCGAACCGGTCAAAGACCAATGCATGATCCGTGCAATAAATACTCTACGTATATTCAGTTAGCACTGCTTCAGGCAAACACCACTGCATGAGGTAATTCAATCAACATTTAAATGATCATGAATTTGGTGAGAGCAATTTTGGGATCACTGGATCACACATGTTATTAACAGTGGACAGGTTCTAGACAGGTCCTTTCTTTGAATCTTTCATGTGTAAAAATGTTTGATACATGTACCCCCTGTACTTCCTCTTGAGAGAAAGCACCTTTTTACCTGTTGTGTAAAACTAGCTGTACTCCTGTACTCAGTGTAAACTTTTAAAGTAGACCGTCAGGCTTAGGGCTGTTAACTTTGAGGGGGAGCAAAATCAAATACTTTGTGGTTTTTAAACAATTTGTATATTCACAAGTGCAGACCTACCTATAAAAACATTTTATGGCTGTTTTTTTTTTTTTTTTTTTTTTTTTTTTTAGATGATATTTGTAATCTATTTAACTGTGAGTATTTGCTGCCTTGTTCAATTAAAAATTAAAAGGTATATAAAAAAGGTCTGAAATTTTATATTAATGAATAAAAAAAGGTGTCATATATCACATAAACAACTTTTGCATATTTTTCTATTTTTTACGTACTCTGTTTACATGGATATAGTCTTCCGGCACCAGATACTGCTTCACAAATGTTGATTTTCCACCTGAAAAACAAATACCAAAATTTAACTTGTTTTGAATTTTAAAATTTTTAAAATCATATTAATGAATTAAATCTCTTCAAAAAAATTAACTAAGATGCTAGTGTTCAATGTATGGATTAATTGTTCCAAGTGAAAGCTTAGACAGGATAACACTGGCAAGGAAGTTGTGATGTCTCATTCATGTATATACTAGAGAAGCTGCTCCATATACTATAATACTCAAAGACTGAGGTCTGATCTCTTACCAGAAATTTCTTTTGGGAAAAATAGAGTAAAATGAATCCATTTTTTTATTTCCTTTTAGTCAAACAAATTCTCAGCATTAGGCAATCTTAATATTTTAAACTTGCTTGAATTTCAAAATGTGTTTTATTTTTTCACATATACACTTCATAAGTGATATGTCAAAATGTTGATTCTTAGAAAAGAAAGCGAGAATGAATACAAGCCTGAACATTTGGCCACTTACATGCTGGCACCCCAACCATACGTATCACCTAGAAAACAAACGTATAACAATACTACTGCAGTTTTTATTGTCACAATTACAAAAAAATCACTGGGCTCGTCCGGGATTTGAACCCGGGACCTCTCGCACCCAAAGCGAGAATCATACCCCTAGACCAACGAGCCAGTTGATACTACGTGGACGAAATTTTAGTCCAAGATCAAAGATACATAATAAAGCAAATATTCTAATGCACTGTATCTATTTCCGTATAATTTATCGTTTTACACTTTACTGAAGTACAATTTGCTGACATAGTCGGTCTTTGAAATGTCTATCAAGTATAAGAACGTGTATCTCACTTCTAGGGGAGAGTCAAAAGATAATTTTGACAAGCCATTAAAAAAAAACTTTCAAAGCATTAGAAGTAGTAGTATTAGTAGGCAAAGTATCTCAGAAAGTTACTCATATGATGTCCTTTCTGCATAAAATTATTTAAGATATGTCTGGTGAAACTGTCATCTTTTTTTGGAAATAATGTAAAAAGTCTCTCTGTGCTCCCCTCAAAAATTAGACCAAGCTATGCCACGTACTTCCTGCATTACCACTACCTGAGGCAATCAGCTGATAGAAATCAATAAACAAACACGTGCTGAAGTCCCCAATGAACATTTAACTTGTAAAGGTATTACACAGACAAAAGTATTGTACTTTGTTGCTAATCACCAGCTTTATACATATTTTCATAGCTTTCCTCATATCCTCATTGAAGTAATAAGTTGAAAAGAGGACATGAGCTAGCTGCTCATGCTGGGCCATTTAAAGGTCGTCCTCAAAAACCTGCGTATTTAAGAGCTCTGCTTTTTCTCCATATATTGTTTCAAATTACAGACCAAATATTAGGACACCTCTCAGCAAAAAATTTGCAGAGGTTCATAAAGAATCTCTATCCAGCAAGGTAAAATATTCATGTTGTATTTGCACTTAATGCTTTTTTTATTCTGTATATTTATTTTAATTTAGAAAGGGGAGACGGGAGGGAGAGGGGTTACCATTAAAAAGTCAACAATGAATATGTGAATAGCAAAGCAAAATATAATGTACAATTTGATCCAACAGTTTGATTGTATTGTTTTATTTTACAGTACAACATGCACACATGTACCTGCCTTGATGCCAAAAATAAATGTTAAAACCATAAATATGCCAATGACTGTCATGGTAGTATGATAAGATAATAAAGGATTAGGGGCTAAGGTCTGTAATTAAGGCTTACATATGAAAGGAAAAATGCTTTAAAAAATGTTTGCCCCATTTGTTGGTAAATTCAAATTTAAAAAATTATCTGAAGTAATTTTTAATCAATTAATCTGTCATTTACCTTTTCATGGCCTTTCTTGAAAAGAACACCGTTTTATTCCCAAATTCTACGATTTACCAGATCAATCTTTACATTAAAAGCAAATGTGTCAAAAATACATATCTATCTCAAAACTTTTTTTTTTGTTTTTCTTATTAATGAGTAGGCAGGATTATTTATTTTCACAACACTTGTCAAGTTGGCTCGTTGGTCTAGGGGTATGATTCTCGCTTAGGGTGCGAGAGGTCCCGGGTTCAACTCCCGGAGGAGCCCTCCTCATTTTGCACTTTTTCCATTTTTTAGACTCAACACATTTCGTCACTCATTTCTCGTTATCGTATTTTTTCCTCTCTCTCAAAGACATAAGGCAAATGTGGAAACAACGGCTTTGCCTGCAGTGCATAGAAACAACATTTCAATGTTACTTTTTACTGTAAGGTTAAAAGCCATTTAAAAAGAATACATACAAAAGTATTTTTAACATCAAAAATCTTTGTGACCTTACCCCAGTGCATTGTGCACACAGGTAGATATTCATCAATGTCTCTTTTGCAACAAATTGATAGCATTTAGTCATGCAACCCCCCCCCCCCCCCACC